AGATGCTTTCAGGGCTACTCCAGCAAAAACACCTATGTTGTATCAAGATACATTCAGTAATGATTCACTTCAAGGTGTCCACCTCCAAAATAGAATTCCCACTATCAGAAGTTAGTTATTTCAAGATTCAGCTGGAAGCAGTCAGAAAGGGGTAAAGAGAGACTTAAAAGCTGGAGTTACAGCATCCTCACCAGTCCTTTGAGACCTTGATTTAGATTTACATGCCTCACTTCTCACTGAGTCATACTTTAATGGCCTACATCCCTAGTAGTGCCCTTAAACTGGCACTATTACCCTTCTGTTGCAGACAGTACTGTGCAGTAATACAGAGTTCAATATGGATTACCTTCAGGGTGTTCTGGCATGGTCAATGCCAGCCAACTCATATCCATACTAAACTGGCTGGTAATGCTGGAGTTTCTGCTTGAAAATCCAATACATGGAATAGTGCCAATCACCAGAGGCATTTCAATCATCAATTTCTTAGCACCAGGAATATGGATGTACACCTATGTGACAAGCCCCAAACAGAAGAGAAAAACATCATGAGACCCCACTGAATTGCTGCTCCTAGAAGCTACCCTGCTCCTAATACTGCAGATTGTTTAAAAACTACAAGTTTTCCCATCCCAGGTATGTTTAGCTAATAATCTGGCAGCATTCTTTATTTTCCAGCAAATTCCTTCTTTCTGTACCTTGTCTCTAGGTGACATTAAAAAAATACAAAACAGGTTGGCCAAAATAATTATGCACTTGACTTTCAGCCCTATCTTCCTATTTCTGGAAAGAATGACTAAAAGAACCCATTCCCCAGAGAACCTCTGCAAGTCTAAAATTAAGCTGCTGCTTCTTCAGAAACATTTTTCCATTTCCCCATATTACTATGTTTCCATTTCAGAAATCTCCTCACGATCTTCAGTCTCTCACTTATGTGGGATATGACTTTTGTTTACATTTGTTTTTGTTTCCAAATTCAAAACCTAATAGCTGCTCCTAGATTTTTCTCTGTAACTCCTCTTGTTCCCAACTCAGTGCAGTATTCGAGATTATGTACATTTGTAATAGAAATCCAGACTTACAGCTAATGAATATTCTACTCTAATAATACAGCAGTCAAGTATAGAGGGGGATACAGGTGGGATTTTCAGAGTTTTCCCATTCCAGGTATCTGTACTCCCAGAGGCAATATGGTTTCCTCGGACATTGGCAACCATCTGACGGTAAGTTTTTGTCTTCCCACTGGCCAGGTAAGTTTGTGTTTGGAAAATGGCAGCTTTTGGAACAATCAAACGAGAAGAGCAGTTCTCAATTTCTGCATAGATTGGTATGGCTTCCCCTTAAAGACAGAAAAAGTTCAATGAATAACTTGTATTTACCAACTTTCCTCTGGGAGTATCAAAGCATGTTATGCAGCACGTACATCACTGGCAATGTTATGAGAACAATACTTGTTAGTTTCCTTAAGCTCGCTTTTTTTTTTGCAGAGTGGTATCCAAGCAGCATTATAGCCACCTACTACATTTTATGTATAAACAATGATTCGTTTTGAAATGTTAACCATAATGTGAACAAGCTATAAAAGCTTTATTTACAAATTATGCCCCAATCTTCCTTTTATATAGTACTAACTGAAGTAAGGGGCAAGGCAAGATGATTTTTGTTAAAGCAAGTTCATCTAGATCTCAATCTACTACCAAGTAAATGGAACTATTCTTTCAACTATAAAGTGCTGGCTTCACAGAGATGAGGAAAACAACCCTATTAGAGGTTTAATAGTCACATTTTGAAGATAATTACTCTTACCATTACAGTATCCCTTCCTCTCAATTTTGGCACTGAGAGACACTGGCCCAGAGGTGAAAAACCAACAGCCAACCATCTTCTCCTGACTTCTTAGAACAGGTGTCTATAAAATATAAAGTATTTTTCATTTTATGGCATAAAGCTGTCAATCACTTGCAGTTCAATATTATGTACATCAGTTATTGCAATCTAGCTCTAAAATCCACTTGATCTGAACCACTGTACTACTCAATGCAACTGGAGTTTTGCCACCATGTAAAATGGAACCAAGGTTTGGCTATCTGAATGTATGGCTGTTTTAAAAGCCTAGTCTGCATTCAGACCATGTCAGCTAGGTAACAGACACCGGTCTGCATTTGAATATCATCTGTCTTCAAAAAAGACTGATTCAGAAAACTTTACAAGTGTGACTTTTTGAAGGTCTAACAGAGCACTGCAGTATCAGCAGCCCTCTCCTGTACAATAACCTATTATCTGGATATGTTGTCTTCATAGCCCTAACATACAGTGCTAAATATAAAGCCTGTATTCTGCTTACAGATGTCACTGCCAAAATACTTAAGTTCTCGAGAGATTAAAATGTGAGCATATAAAGAGGAAAAAACCCTGCTCAAAACATCTCTTAGCTACATTCGCATCATGATCAAATGTTAAAATTATCCGAGCATTTTAAATAAAATAGAAATTAGTCATTCATATTTTAATGAATAACCATTTAGATCTAGTTGCTATCGTGAAGTGCAAGGTATAATTTTATATTATTTTCATAATATGGGTTGAGATAAAAGAATCCAGCTCATTAGCTTCCATCTTGCCTATTTTCTCATTACTTAATGCCTGATCTTCCTTATTACTCTACAGTATTTCTAGCGATTATTAGAAACTCAATGCTTTAATGTGGCCAAATCTGTCATAAGGAAATAACTGAAAAGATCTCTGAAGCAGCTGCATGCACGCACTTAATGTTAGAAAACGACATGCAAAATGGAAGGATACGTAACATAATGGCCAAAGCATAAATGACAGGCTGGGCATGATTAATACTCTTCTGTAATTACTGTTCCTCAACCTACTATTATTGTGGAGTTTAGGACACTGCAGCCCTGTGAATGTCATTGCTCTGGTAAGAGTAACTACTTCATGCTAGTGCATTATTATTATTAAGCCTTATTTATGCATCTGAAGCCTGCATAACTTTTTGGCAAGAGCATCTCTGCCAGCAGGGATGTAATCAATGGTATTAAAAAAAAAGCCACTCTGTTTGCTATTCACACAACCTAAGATCATCTATTTATAGAGAAAAGCTTAGGGAGCTTATATGCTTTCAGAAGTCAGAAAATGACACTCCAGAATAACACAGAAATGGCTATGGCTGGATGTGAATGCTTCTTGGAAATTATTTTTTTGCAGCTGGCTTTAAAGGGGGGGAGGAGGAGCGGAGCACCCTCTTACCAATAAAGCTGGTGAGCTGACGTCGATATGGCTAATGACCTGAAGCTCTGTCTGTACACTTTGATCAGGTGCTGCAGGCCTCTCCAGAATTGCTTTCACATAGTACTGAACACTGCCATACTTCCCAGTGAAAGAGGTCACCAGAGGTCTGAAACAAGCAGTCATAAAAGCATTACTGTAAGTGTATAATTCAGTTCCAAACATGAACACTTCCTGTGTACATAAACGTTTACCAACTTACAGCTTGTACTTTTAGGGCCTTAGGGAAACTGAAGCAAACAAGGCGTGTTTATGTGGTGGTTGATTAAGACAAACATATAAAGCTGACCTATCTGTTTGATACGACAAAACCCCCATGACTCAAATTACATTAAGTTAATTTTCCACAAGCAGCGTTGTCCAGCACAATCCCTTCAGGTTGGATTATTTAACTTACTCTTGAGGGAGCTGAAAGCTGAACGGAAATTCATGTCTTCCATCTAGAAGAATTAAGCTTTCCTCACCTGTAGGATAAAAATGAATAGTATGTTTTAGTTATTCCATAAATAGAAGAACAAAGCAGGCGCTTTTATAAGTTATTTATGTATAAAAACACCCAGATGCAAGGGCCTAGGAGAAGTTTTTATTGATCCCAGTGGGTTCTGGATTGGAGCCCATGCTTTATTTATGCAGTGATGTGATTTCAGTGAAAAAAATCACGGAAACACGGAGACCTTGAGTTTCAGTTCAGGACTCCAGCCAATTTCTAATCCAAAATGGCTTCTGGAAAGCATAAACTAAGTTTCTTTTCCTGTTCAACAGGGCAGCAATTAATTTACTTTTTCAATTAACAATTAATAAACTAACCTCTGTGCTAAAAAGCTGCAATTCACGGTATTATGAAGTACTATTAATATATATACTTGTAATATATTCATAGAGGGCTCACCATTCCACAGGTTTTAAAGGCCTACATTTACTTTTCCTACAGATAAACTTAAGAAGTCTTTCACTCTTACAGAACAAAATACCATTTCCCTTTAATTTTTCAGTACTGCCACAGTGCTGCTCTGTCTGAACAAAACTGCCAGCCGGAGACCTGTGCAACACCGAGCGTCCTCTGCTTTCTTAAGCCACTGCAAAAGGAGGGCGACTGCTTCGAGTGTCTTCCACGGGCAGCTTCCCAGCGGCTGCTCAGAGCACACCGCACAACGTGATTCCCAGAAGAGCGAGCCTCCGCAGGAAACCAAGGCAGTGCGTGGAAGCAACGAGCTGCGGACTTTCCTCTGGCCCTGTTCCAGGTTTGTCAGCCGTTTATAGCCAGTATCGAGTGACCACCTGATGAAGCAGTGGCGAGCCTGCCCTGGGCACACACGAAGGCTGTGGCTACACCAGCCAGAGTTTCCATGTGGGAATGACGGCCCCGCTGGCCGGGTACCTCCCCAGGCCTCACGCCGTTTCTCAGCATCCAGATCCGATGCCCGTTTCTCCTCAGAGAGGGTTTCAGCCCTCAGCCTTCCCCTCTCCTGGTAAAAACCGGCGTGGGCGCCTTCCTGCGCCACCCCCGGGGAGCGGGGGGGGAGCTGGCCCCGGAGCCCTGCCCTGCCGCCTACCCCTGCGAAGGAGGCGCCAGGCCCCCACCAGTCCCACCCCCGCTGTCG